AGTTGGGGCTACAGTGAGAAAGCAAATAAGCAAACAAAAAACACTGCAGTAAAGTCATATATTTCTTTTAATAATGTGTTTCTGTTCTTACTGTTACTCCCACTTTTGAATAGTTTAAGTATGAATATGCAACAACCTGACCACATCCTTTCCATCTGATCATTTTCCAGTGGGGCTAGTAGCACTTGAAGAAAAGTAGCAGCTTATCCAAACCCCACTCCCTAAAGTCTCATGGTTTAAAATCTCCCAGGTAACCAAAATCCCCAGATATTTGCATCCAATTTAACAACTACATACATATTGTTTTCAAATACAAAAACACCCTAGTTAGACAAAAATGTTATTCACTGACAGAAAAATATCCTGTTATAACAAATCTGTACTATTTACTGGTTACATGTCCTTTTAACCTCACTGAAATTCTAAAGTACTGGTTATCAGCAAAATAATACCATAAAATAAAGTCCGGGAAATTTAAAAAAAAAAAAAAAAGAAAAGCTTAGTATAACAATATTTAGCACTTAAAACACCTCTATAATGATCTTCTGTTTTGCATATTTTTGCTCAATTTATATTTTTTTATTTTATGTGTATGCATGTATTGCCTGCATGTAGATAAGTGTACCAGTGTTATGCAATGCCCGCAGAGGTCAGAGAGGCTGTTGGATTCCCTGGAACTGGAGTTATGGACAGTTGTTAGCTGCCATGTGGGTGCTGGGATTCAAACCCGGGTCTTCTGCAAGAACAGTGTTCTTAACCGCTGAACCATCTCTCCAGCCCCTATTCTTCTCATTTAATGTGAACATAACCTGAAGCCGTAATAGAAAAGGTAGTGGTGTTTGGACAGTTCATCTTTTCCAAAGACTTCAAAGTCAAATGACATTGCTACCACACCACCTTTCTAAAGCTAAGCCCAGTCTAGTTTATCACTGTGAAAGCAAAGGCACCCTACAAACACAGTAAGATTGCAGCTAGGCAAAGGTTTTGGTTTTGGGTTGTTGCTTGATGTGGTTTGGTAGGGGTTTGGTTTTGCAGTTTTTGTCTCATGTAGCCCAAGCTGTCCTCAAACTCACTCCGAGGATAATTTTGATTTCCTGATCCTTCTGTCTCTACTACCCAAGTTCTGGGATTACAGATCAGTGTCATCAAGTCCTACTGGTAATGTATTATTTTTATGTTTATTTACTTAATTTGGGGGGGTACATGTTTGCATACAAGTGGGCATATACACAGCAAAGCATTTTTTAAGTGAAAAAAACTCAAGAGTTTCCAAAAAAATAAATATTAAAAGGAGGAAGTCTTCTTTTGTGTGTATTTTTGGCTTATCATTTTGTATGCCTTCAGTCTCATCTCTTTAAGATTGAGCATGTTTTACAATGGAAAACCAAGAATTCTAAAAACAGCCTCAGAAAAATAAAACCATGGTTCAACAACAGCTAAGTCATCAAGTACGCTAGTAGTTCATGAGACTGTGAACTTTGAGTGGAATGATCAAATCCTAATTAGTTGTTGGCCTACGCATTGGCTGGTTAGTCAGAGAAAGAATTATTCAGAGAAATCATTCACCAAAGAAAACCTTTGAACTTTGAAGCATTTTCCACATACATCTCTAATACACACATTAAACCATTCCCACTTTATCTCACAGAGATGTTCTTGCAGTAAAAAACACAGGCCTTTGTACGAAGCCAACAAGAGACTTAGAACATCTCTCCTTTAGCAGTAGGAGGGCACAGGGATACATTAAAGCATATTTGAGAGGCATAAATTGTTGCAGCACCTGCTACCAGTCGATATTTAAAAATCAACTTCCTAGATAGGGTTCGAGCATAAAAAGGGATCTTAATCATACTGAAAGGCTAAAAAATTGCACCTGACATAATTTTTATGTACCCTTTGGTTTTGCTTTTATACAGTTTTAATGGTTTGATAAACCAAGTGTATATCCTACATATATAAATCAAGTTAACTGCTGTCATTTAAAAGATCATTAAAGCTTTATACCTGTATTCTTAATTCACTGGACTTTAAAAGAATCAATTTTCATTTAATTTTCTCCACAAATTCTAAGCTTTAAGGAACTAATTCATCTACTGGCACCTTTAACTCTAACTTGCTGAGAAAGTTCATGAGTCTTCCTTCAAACCTACTCTCTACAAATATATCTGTATTCCAAAATGGAGGAGGGAGGTAATAGAATCCTGTGACTGTGAATACAGAGACTCCCAAGAACCACAGATCCCAACACACAAGTGCTTTAGCTAAAAATGGCCTTCTGATCACAAAGCTCATAGGTCGTAATTGTAAGCTATTCTAGGTACTGAAAAACCCTAAAAATTATAAAAGCACAACATCATGGTTAAAATGACCATAACTCCAAGTTTACATACCTGCTGTCCTTCAGTTTCATTATTAATACTGCCTCCCTTTTCCTGTTCTAAAAGGTCCTACTTTGTGGCAAAATTTATCAGTGGTGCTAGAAGTCAGACTTGTTGGTGGCTGCCTTGAGAGGGCAAGTGTTTACTGAATGGGAGGAACCCAAGGAATCCCTTTGGAGGCCTGAAAATGTTCTATATATCATGATGTGGTTTGTGGTTATGGGGGCATATACATATGGAAAACACCACTGAACTGTATGTACTCTTAGAGATCTTACTGTAAGTCATACTTCAATTTTTAAAATATTTTATTTTTTTATTTTATTTGTATGAGTGTATTGCCTGCATGTGTGTAAGTGCACCCACGTCGTGTAATACCCAAGGAATCAAAAGAGGGCATTGGATTCCCCTGGAAATGGAGTTATGGGAGGTTGTTAGCCACCATGTGAGTGCTGTGACTCGAACTTGGGTCCTCTGCAAGAACAGCCAGGGCTCTTAACCGCTGAGCCATCTCTCCAGCTTCAATTTTTAAGAAATATCTAATTTCTTAAGTAGACTTAAATGTCTGTGTTCAAATAAAGTTCACAAAATTATCCTGGATACAACTAACAAGATGGTTTCCCCAACTGTATTTTTGTAGAGATGGCACGTTGCATCTTTCGAAGCACTTAAAAAAAAAAAAAAAAACTCTTCATGTTAGTAAGTCTCCGAAGTTTAGAACCAAAAAGGGAGAGAAGGGTGATCTATTCATCCTAGTTTTGTCAATAAGGAAAATCAAATGTACACTGGGTAAGAAACCTGCCCCAAGATAAGGCGGCTTGGCAGTCAGTGGCAACGGTAATAACATAACAGTCGCCTGATCTCAGGCCACTCCAGTTTCCACAGAGCCGTTACTTTCCTGACACTGCAAACAAATCTGAACTCTGAATCTACCTGTGGCCTACAAGGATTCACCACCCGCCACCAGCTCACCGAACACACTCATGTTCTTCCATCCCCCTCGAGAAAGCTGGCGGCTAGTCAACAGTTGCACGCTCAGGCGTTTTGCTTCAGATGCAATAAAGTTAAGCCTGACATCTTAAAATCCGGCATCACAAGGCAGACGCAGACACCGGCAAAACCCATCTGACTTCCTTTCCCATCTCTCCGATGCTTCCCGGACCCCAACATCACCTGGGGCCATTATCCTCAACTACTCGGAGGGACTCGCGGGCCACAGCCCCCTCCGAGTAACTTGTGCCCGGCGCGTGCCACCCCCTCCCGGCGCACCGCTGCAGAGGTGACCGGCGCTTGACAGCTCAGTTCCAGACCCCACGCGAACAGCTGACGTTCTGCAGGAAAAAACTTAAACACTCGCTATCTCCTCTCCGCGCAGAGCAGGCCTTGCTTCTCCTCACTCTCCGCTCGCCCTCCAGCTTCCCCCGCAGCGTGCCAAACCAGACTTGGGAAGAGAAATCGAAACGCTCACGGACCTGTCGAGTGGGACGCTGACCCGCTCGGAGCCGGGGATCGGGCGGCGGCGGCGGCGGCCCTCGAGTGGCAGCGCCGGGGAGGCCGGAGCCACCGGTTGCGGCGGCCGCGGCACGCTCGG